GGATAATCTTCTACCGGGGGTAATATTTATCCATAACTGGGTACTGAAAGGATAAACTTATTATACCCGGTATGGATAATCTTCAACCAGAGGTAATGTTTATCCATAACTGGATACTGAAGTGATAAGCTTCTTCACGAAGCTTATTTCCAATAGAGTACTAAATGGATAAACATATTTACGGTGGAGTCCCATATGGATAAACTTCTTCAAGAAGCTTATTTACAATGGAGTACTAAATGAACATCCATAATATAATATATTTATAACAACTTTGTCTTTCTTTTTATTTTCTTTGTCCAAATAAAATTATACCTTTATCTAGAGTCATGATAAAAGTATATACGGATGCAATTGGCATGACTTGATTATTGTCTTTTATGACTTCAACTTGATTAATTTGATTCTTTTTTTTTTCGATGATTAATTTAATTCGACTATGTATTTTTTTCATTTAAATCAAGATCAAAATGCTTATAGGAATAGCTCTAGTTGATTTCCATTAATAAATATTGATCAGCTTTTAAAAAAGTGGGGCATTTTACCTAGTATAAAGTGCACCATAAACTTCAGGGTATTTGACGTAAGCCCCGTAATTTTTAAATTTTAGTAGCTTATATATTAATAAAATAGCAAAAAAAAAAAACTACAAAAATATTAAAAATAATTTTAAAATACCATAAATTTGGAAAATATAAAAAAGTATAGTTTGGTATCATTAAAATAATTTAGTGAAACTTTTGGAGCGCAAAAAGACAAATAAAATATTTTCTAGAAGAATTATTCTGTAGTTATTTATTTAACGAGTTATATTGTGTTATAGGAGGCGTTTGGACATAAAAATTAAAATTTTGAGAAAAATAGTATTTGGAGTTAAGTTGAAAAATGGTATTTGAAATTATGTTTGGACATGCATTTTATTAGAAAAAATATTGCAGTTTTGTGACTGGGAAAAATTTGTTTTGAAAATTTTGACAAAACGATCAAAACCACTTTTCATTTTTTGAAAAACTTATTTTCAAATAATTTTCAAAAACTTGTAAAATTTTATGGACAAATACATTTTTGATTTTTTTTTTTTGTGAAAAAAGAAAAAACAATTATGGACAAAGGGCCTTAGTCCGAATTAAATTTACTAAGGAGAAATGAACGTCGGCTGGAAAAAGTTACTGGCTTTTAATTTGTCATTATAACAAGTTCACTCGTCTAAGTCTTGGCAAATGAGAAAAGAATATAAAGGTGATCGAAAAAATTTAAAATCTCTTTAATTCCCAACGAAGAAAACGAAAAGACCCCCAAAAAGTCACTTTCACGTCGCTATTTCGTTGTACATTTCCCATATATATATATATGACTTCGCTTCTTTCACAGGCTCATGACGTTGGTTTGTCGACAATATTTTTCGTGTTTTCAAATGACTTTAATCCTTTCGATTCTTTTTTGTTCTTGGTAACATGGAAAATAAATTAATAAGATAATTTATTACAACAAGTTAAACAACATTGAAGGATCACTTAGTTGAAAAATAACTTATTTCAGGATTAATTATCCCATGATTGTTATTTTATCCTCGCATAAAAATATAAAAATAATATTACAATCCTAAGATTAGTCATTCCGTAATTTTATCTCAACCAAACATGAAATAAATTTACCTCAAATTTAATCACATAATTAATTCCTTTATCTCTCGTACCAAACGAACTCTGATAGTATAAACGTGTTGTAGACAATTAGGCAATCATGTTAGGGGTCATGAAGCGAAAGAGCCACATCAATAGTTTATCTAGGACGAATTCTTACTTACTTTTCTTAGTAATGGTAATGCAGGTATGCCGTATGCCAAGGGAAACTCGGGCCAACTTATGTCTCAATAGTGGCCTGAGAAAGGACCACTTAATCCAGATTTATAAATGGTCATTGAAAAATAGCCACAGTTTCAAAAGTAATCGAATTTTAGCCACTTTTCATGTAAAGATAGATCTGAACGAAAACACTGTTCAAAATCCGGAAAATATTCGAGCATAATATACTGGAGGTCTAACATAATATACTGGAAGATCATACACATGTGCTCCAATCTCCAGTATATTATGCTGGAACTTTCCGTGTGTTGGAGTTCCAGCATAATATGCTGGAAGTTCATACACATGTGTACCAATATTATATTGGAACTTTTCGTGTTGCAGCAATATAGTGGCTATTTTTGAATGACTTTGCAAACACTGATTATTTTTTAATTACTAGTCCGAAAAATGGTTAGCCCTGCTATTTTCACAAAGACAAGCCTTAGAAATACTGCTAGAGCCCCTACACCATAAAAGGTGACTTTAAATTAAAAAACAAGAAAAAACTACATTAATAGTATAAAATAATGTCACCACTGTCTATATAAATTAAAATCATTTTGGATCATATATGAATTTAAGTTATACGTATTGACAGTATAAAAAAAAGTACATACAAGTATGAGTGATGTTTGACATCTTATAATATGTATACTTTTGTGGAGAAAAATAAGAGAAACCAAAGGAAAAGATCCAGGGGAGAATGGATTATGAGATCTTGAGTTCAAGCTTTGGGTATGAAAAAATTCTTGGTAGGGAGCGTTTTCTCCGAATGGGGCTCTACGCGGCATGAATCCGAATATAGTCGGTCTCCAATGCGGGTACCGAACACCGGGTGGGAAATTAAAAAAAAGGATTTGTTCCATTCATGCAAAATAAAAGAGGATATCACTATTTATAGGTAACCAAAGAGAATAAAGTAAGGAGAATATGTTATTTTCCTCATAAGTTATAAACTAAAAGAAAATAAATATTTTACAAGTAATATAGATCCTAAACTTAGAATTGAAAATAAATATTCTACCAAAATATTTCTAAAATAAAAAGAAAATAAATTAAATATTATACAATTAGTGTAGATCCTAAAGTAGAAAGAAAGTAATTATTGTTAAAAATTTCCAATATATTTTAACAATTTTACTATTTAGTTTAAGTTATTAAGTAATATTTATTTAATAAAATTATTTGTAATTTCTTTTTAGTAATTTGCTCGTGGACTAATTTCAGATTCCAAGTAAGTTTTTCCTCTTTTCTTTGGCCTAACTTCGATTCTAAGTCTTCCTTATAACTTCTCATCATCTTCCTTTTTCCTTCGTATATTAGCCTTTGGAATCTTTTACTTTTGCTACAGTATGAGACACTGATGATATTGACACCAACATGGAATAATATTATCAATATTTTTAAGCTAACTACAACGTTAGAGTACATAAGCTTTTACAATATCAAATCACCTTTACCTATCATAATAATATGTAATCTATTTTATTTTTAAAATTACAAATTCATATTTTAAGCCGGGACAACCAAATTTTGAACATTATGAGTTTTAAATTTTAGGATAAATATATTTAGTGTTGGTAATTGGATTATGTATTTAATTTTGTGCATCTTTAGTGTATTCTTTAATATAAATACAATCAAATCTCTCTATAACAACTTCATTTATTTCGATATTTTTTGGTTGCTATAACAAAGTGATGGTATAAAGGACATATATTATAATATCGCATAAAAATTGGTATCAATAAAAACTTGACCGCCATAGTGAAATGATCTGTTATAGATAAGTTTGACTGTACAGGTTTGGACTAAAGCTATTGCCAAACCCTTACTTTCTAACTTCGCCCGACACTCATAGCATAAAAAATTCCTTACACTAACGGTCCATGAAAACTTGGCCGTCGTAGTGAAATGAGCGTTGTAGTAACAGTCAAATGATGACCGTTATAGAAAAGTTTGACCGTACAAATTTGGACTAAAGCTACTGCCAAACCCGTAATTTACCTTCTAACTTCACATTTTAAGGAAACCTACATGGTTTAAAATATTTTTATACTGACAGCAAATATAACTTACACTTTATTATTATTACTTTCCTTAATATGTGGGTAAGCAAAATATATAGTACATGTTTCTATTTTTCTTCCATTTAAGTTATTGACTCCTCGTCAACCTTGGTGCTGGGGTCTCGTCTCTTTATTCCAAACACTTTCTCTTTTTCTTCGTATGATTGTACGAAATCTTTTTCAAGGAAACCATTCTCATATTTCATTGGAGCTCTGCTACGTAAAGTTTTCTGTCATTTTCCTTATTCTGCTTTCATCATTTTGGTGCAGAAATGCAGCAGTAGTATTAACTTAGTTGCATATAAAATCACAGACCTGGAAAATTTTCTTAGCTAATAAACCCCAGAAGAAAGAAGAAAGACAAGGTAAAAACTTTTTTTTATTTTCCTTCCATTTGTTCTTACATGTAACTTTGAGTTGATGTTTGTTTATTTTGATGATTAGGGAATTAAAATGGCAACTACTACTACTACAAAGAAGAAAACAGAGAAAACAGTTCCGGGATTGGTAGATTTGGTGTTTTCTTGGTCTCTAGGGGACGTGCTGAACAGAGATCTTTACAAAAACAAGGTTTTGAACGATTGGATTTTTCATCTAGTTCATTTGCATGCCTAAAAAGTATTTTTGATTAGTAGTATTTAACGATAGTATAATCTGTTTTATGCTATGGTATGCGATCAGTGTATTTTAACTTGTTGCAGTGGTGGATGTAGCATGCAACCCAACATTTTGTTTTCATATGGGTTACAGATATACATGTTAAAAATTACCAATATTTCAAAAAAATTGAACCCATAATTTCAAAAATGTATATGGGTTCTGATGAGACCCCAGCTTGTTCGGTATTGAGGCTTAGTAGTTGTTGTTATAATGGGTTTTGATGAGATCGCAAGTTGTTTGGGATTGAGGCATAGTAGTTGTTGTGATGGGTTTTGATGAGACTTCAACTTGTTTGGGATTGAGACATAGTAATAGTTGTTGTTGTTGTCGTAATGGA